GGGGGCTGTGACAGCCCGGTGGGTCCGTGGTGCCCCATTCCACCCCCCTCCCCGGTGCCCCCACCCGCCGGCGGACGAGAGTCCCGGTGCACTGGCTCGCTTCGGGCGCGGGCGTCGTGGTCACCCCGGCGTGCGCGTGGCCAGCGCCTCCTGCATCTTCTGGCGGCAGCGAGCGTAGCGGTGCCGCAGACGCCGGACGTGCTCCTCCTCCTCCCGCTGCAGGATGCGCAGGAAGTTGTGCAGCTCTGGCAGCGTGAAGGCGTCCCACTGCAGGCACAGGGGCTGCCATCGTGACGGGGACCTGCCGCGGCCCCCTCTCCCCAGGGATGCGGGTGCCAGCCCCCTCCCTGCCCCCCCCCCCCCACGTTCACCTCCCCGGTCTCGTTCTCCTTCAGGACGAAGCTCAGCACCTTCTCGCTGGGGCCGGCCAGCAGCCGCAGCCACAGGGGCTGCTCCTCGTCACCCAGCTTCCGCAGGTACACTGCAAGGGTGGCCACAGGTCACAGCAGGGACAATGCCAGGGGGACAGTGCCACCATGGGGACATAACCCTCACTGGGGACACCACTGGCACTGGGGACACCACTTTCACAGCGGACACCACTTCCATGGCAGACTCTGCTGCCACGGGGGACAAACCCATGGTGACAAGGGACACTGCCACCGAAGGGGGGATACCACTGCTACAGGGATGCTGCCACCATGAGGATGCTTCCACTACAGGGACATCATCACCACAGAGTAAACTACTGACATGGGGGAATCTGCTGCCATGGGAGGGGGGTGGTACACACACCCATGGCAACACAGGACACTGCCACCAAAGCAGGGATACCACTGCTACAGGGATGCTGCCACCACAGAGATGCTGCTACCCTGGGAAAGCTGCCACTGTCAGGGAGGACACTGCTGCCATGATACTGCCACCATGGGGAACACCACTGCTATGAGAACACCACTACCACGGGGATGCTCCCACCATGGGAGACACCATCATTCTGGAGACATTGCCACCACAGGGGAAACTGTCACTATGGGGACACAGCCACCGCTGTGGGGACAGGGCCACCGTGCTTGTCAAGGGCACTACCTTGCTCATCCTTCTCAGACCTCTCGAAGAGGGCAAACTTGCGGGGGTTGTCAACGACGGTGAACTTGCGGAGGAGGGCGTCGATGACCTCGCTGGCACGGGTGTGCGACAGGATGTGCAGGTGCTTCACGGTGCCCTTGGGCAGGTAGAAGGAGGTCCGGCGCTTCACGCCCTGGGTGTGTGGCCGCCCCGCCTGCAAGGCGGGGCCCTTCTTGGTGGCCGGCACCGAGACGGGGCGCGCCAACTTCAGCTGCACCTTGATGAAGCCGGTGTAGGAGCCGTCCTTGTTCTGCGAGACACCAGCGGGGGGGTGAGTGGGGACAGGGCAAGGCACCGTGCCCCTCCCGCCCAGCCCTGCGCTGGCCCCGTACCAGGCTCATGAAGAGGTTGCTGTTGATCTGGCTGTTGTACTCCTTGATCCGCTGCTCCACCTGCGTCTGGTCCAGCTCTGTCTTCTCCCACTCGCTGGGCTCATCCTGTGTGACAGCAGCCGGGCTGAGCGGCACTGTGGGCGGGGGGGAGCTCCCCGCCTACCCCGGTTATCCCGCCGGCCCCCGGCCCGTCCCGCGGCACCGACTGACACGCGCGGGCGGTTGCGTGGGGTTGCATCAGCCCGGCTGGCGCTGAGCTGGGCTGCGCCGGGGAAGCACAGCTGAGCTCACCGCGGCCCCAGCCCTGTTCCGGGGACACCGGCACCGGCCGCCCCCCCAGCCCTCGTCCGTGGGGCTGCAGGGGTGGGTGAGCTCGGCTGCAAGTACACCCGGGGATGAGCGCCCCTTCCCTGCACCTCAGATCAGAGAGGCGTCCCGAGGCAGAGCGCCGGCAGCCGACAGCCTGGCACCAGGGCGTCTGGGCAGGCTGGGAGCCCGCGGGGACGCCCTGGGATTTGAGGCAGGAGGGCCGGGCCGGGGGTGCAGCCCGCCCATGCCGCCGGCACCCCACTTCAAAGTGCTGGCCCCACACAAGGGGGACCCAGGCATCCCGGCTCGGCGTCCCTGCCATCCGCACCCACTAAGGAGTATTTACGTGGGGCCGCGGAGCTGCCACACAGTGTTGCACGTGTCCCCACGGCGCTGAGGGGCTCCCAGCCCTGAAAGCCACCGCACAGCATGCAGGCACTGCTGGACCCTGCGGGGGTCCCTGCAGGATGGGGACAGCTGTGAGGCTGCCTGGGGGGCTCACCCTGTCACCCCCAAATGCTGTCCTTTGCCCTCTCTGGGAGCAGCTTCAGCCTGGAGGGCCTTGGGGTGGCCGTGCCAGACAGCAAAAACCCACTGACCCCACGGTGCCTCGCTCACCCCACATCCACCTGGACAGGGCCGGCGTGTCCCATGGCACGGCCATGCTTGCTGCCACTCTTGCTGCCCCACGGCAGGGCCACGCTGACCCCATGCCCAGCCCCACACTCACCCCGCAGCAGGGTGATGCTCACCCCCATGCTCACCCCATAGCAGACCCACGCTCACCTCCCGGACAGGACCACCCACATCCCGTGTGTTCCCCACGCATCAAGCCCACCCTCGCCTGCTCCCTAGCACCCAGCCCCGGGGTGTGTGTGTGTGCTCCTCGATGATGTCAGCCGTGTCCCCCCCATGACGTCACGGCCCGGGACCGACCTGGCGGCGACGTGGGCGGCGGCCGAGGGAGGTGCGGGCGGTGTAGAAGAGCTCGGGCTCGGAGTCGGAGTCCTCCTGGCTGCAGTAGCCGCTGCTGGCCGTGCTGCCCCCCGTGCCCCCCGCGCCGCCCCGCCGCAGGGCCAGCGACGCCGCCCC